TTAATATTATATATACTGTATGGAGAGATAGAGCTAAAGATGTAAAATTTTTTTTGTAGTTAAGTTGGGTAAAAAGTATAGTTGTAAATTGAAGAAAGAGAGATTTAAAAGTGTCAAGAATAATGTTAAAGAGAAGAATAGCATCTTTGCTTAGTAATGAGTTTGTATCAAAGATTAAATCAAGAAGAAATTATGAGTGTTTGTCAGCAAGTGAGGCCATTAAATAGTCAAAGGTGTATTTAGATTCTTTGTCTTTTTGTTTGTTATTAAAGTTGGTTGAAGGAAGCTTAATAATTTTGTTAGATACAAATTTAATATGGTGAGATTTAATAAAGTTAAGAAATTGTCATCCAAAGAGGCTTAAAGAAGTATTATTTTCTATATTATTGGTAATAAAATAAGTGAAAAACCAGTCAAGATCTTGAGATGTATCTCATTTGGGGTATGCTGCTTTAGTTTGTTATTTAGTATTAGAAACTGTACTGGTATGATTGATTTCAAAAGTATTCAAGTCCATAGTCAAAGATTGTGAGTCATCAATAGAGGTATTATTTAAAATAAATTATAGTTCAAAAAATTATTTATTTTTAAAAATAAATATTTAATTAATAATAATTTTAAAAAATTTACTTATATAATCTAATTAAATTTTTTATCTTTAAAAATAAATATTTAATTAATAATAATTTTAAAAAATTTACTTATATAATCTAATTAAATTTTTTTTATTTTAAAGATATAGTTTTTACTAATATTGTAAAAAAAAATTATAAAAAATCCAAATACAGTCAGACCTCTCTATAGTCACCTCCTATATAAGCATATTTTCTTTATAAGCATATTTTTTAAAAAACAAACTATTATTGAATATAATAAATTTGACCTCTATAACTGTCACACTTCTCTACAAACACACATTTTCGTATCCCAAGTGTGTGATTATAGAGAGGTTTGACTGTATTTAATAAAAAAATTAATATAAGTAATAACTATATGCTTTTTTTAATAAATCTTAATTATTTTAATAACTAGTAATTAAATTCTAGTAATTTTTTTTTTATTTTATAAAGAAATTCTATCTTTATCAAATAAAAAAGTTTTATCAAATTTGAATTAATAGTTTTAAAAAAAAATTAATAAAAAATTAAATTTAAAATTTTTATTTTTGTTAATTTTTAATTAACTATTCATCAAAATTGTTTCAAATTTTGTTATTATATAAAAAATATTTTCTACTATAATATATTAAAATTTTATCAAATTTGAATCAATAGATATTAAAATATTTACAAAAAAAAAAACACAGACACTTACTAAATTTTTCAAAACTCTAAAAATAAAATTAAATACAGTCAGACCTCTCTATAGTCACCTCCTATATAAGCACATTTTCTTTATAAGCATATTTTTTAAAAAACAAACTATTATTGAATATAATAAATTTGACCTCTATAACTGTCACACTTCTCTACAAACACACATTTTCGTATCCCAAGTGTGTGATTATAGAGAGGTTTGACTGTAACTTGCTAATTATACAAGTATATAAATTAAAAATAACATCACATGATCACAGAGAGATATAGATTTAGGTAAATAAATAAAAGCCAAAATTAATTAGTAAGTTTTTGAGTTATAAGCCAAGTCCTTAGGTGTGGAATTATTTTTGTCACCCCCCTGTAGTAAATATCCCTATTTTTTACTATGTGTTGCCACTGGTTTATGGGCGGACCACGAATTAAATATAATCTTAACTGTAATATAAGTATTGTACTATATCTAAGCATTATTTTGAGAAAATATTGTATCAACTTTTGCATTACCGGTGAACATTAACTGCGCCACGTATTATTAACTAGCTATTAGTTAATAAGTCGGCCAATCAATTAATAATCATTAATAATCATTAATAATCATTAATAATTCGGGGTCCCATCACTAATCACAGGTAATGATTAGCAATTTTCTATAATAAAATATTTAAAAGTTCTATAATAAAATTTATTCATGTTTTTATATAAACACATGCTAGAGTTTTCAACTTTTAATCCCTAAAAAAAAAAAAAAAACCAATCTCACATTAATGCCATTATTTCCCTGGAATGCTTGTTTTTTTTTTCATCGTAATTCTCAATATTTTTTCAAGTGCATTTTTTCCCTGGAATGCTTGTTATTTTCATCGTAATTCTCGATATTTTTTCAAGTGCATTTTAAATTAAACAAGATTTGAAAATAATTTAAGATAGATTTATTTTTGGTGAAGGTTTAAAACGACATCAATGATTATTTAAATGAAAGAGTTTAGAATTCTCAACTATACGATAGAATACAATAGAGAACTAATAGAGATATTTATGTAGAGGGGTTTTTTTTAATTCTCAAAGTTGGCGTTATGGCGGATTTGTCAAATTTAACTAATTTTTGGACCCCAAATTTAAGTTTTAGGGACAAATTTTATTATTAATTTTTAAATATTGAACACCTAAAAAAATTATTAGCACTCCGATCTATAATAACAATGCGTCTAACTCATTTTCCTATATGTTTAATCCATGTTTTCCATTAGCGCAACTCATCTTAAATTTATATACAATTCAGATAACCAATTTTAAATTTACATGTATAATTTAATAATTTGCGAAATCTGAGTATCGATTTTTTTTTTTATTTTTTTCTCTCCGATCGATTCACAAAATTACTGTATTAATCATGCAATGACTGTTAGTAACAATGACAGTATTTTATGGATAACAGAAAATTTAAAAAATATATCATCGTTAGATCAGAAAAATAACATTACATATATGTGAAGTCAATTAAATGACTTACAATCGGTGGTCAAAATAATGGTAAGGCAAAAAAAAAAAAAAAAAAAAAAAAAAAAAAAAAAAAATTAAAGAAGCAATTTACACATTCGGATTAGAAAAGAGACAAGCTCGTTGCAAATGTCAGTTTAAAACTAATAACAATAATATTAAATCGATTAAATTTTGAAAGAAATCTAAAATCTGACATGTATAGAAGCAAAACATTACCCGTCAGTCAACTTGCTGATGAACATAATCTTTAGACCTTAATAAAATTATTGCTATATATATAAAGAGTCCTTTTCCTATAGCAGAGACCAATTGATGCCAGAAAGGTTTTTCACAAGAGAATAATGTGGATTTTGATATACTGTAATAATAATGTTATGTAAAATATATACAGTATATAAGTTATATTATACGCTATTTTATTCTAAAGCGTAAGACCTAAGAATTAGGACCCAGCCCACAAAACATTACCGTTTATTTCTAGTTATATTAAATTGCTTTAAGTTCCAAATATGATCATATGCAGGGTTAAAACAATCTATATTGCTTAAAGTGTACTTTTTGATTCTTCAAAATTGGTATTTAAATTATCGCGAACTTTACTATAATGCGAATCAAGAACGATACTTTGCGAATAGGTACAAATTAATATACGCCAGCCCTGATCTTTATGGAAAACTTTTGAACTGCGGCAATGTGGTAATGAGGCATTAGACGACATTGTGTCAATACCATTGAAGATTGCGGGATAAGTCTTTTGCGGAAAACAAAAAAAAATGCGGCAGTGCAGCAATCTAGTAAATGAATTTGATGTTACCATTAGCATTGAAGAAAAAACGATGCGTATAAAAAAGTAATTTTTTTTCAAAATCAATAGCTAACTTTAAAAGTTCATTTATAACTACAAAATGTATACACCAATTTCGCCCGAAATAAAGAGACAATTCGAAAAACAAACACACGTTCTTTAATGATGAGTACAAAAAGTCATATTCCAATTTTTCCGACAACTATTCTTCGACAGCCATTTCGATGAAAGAATTGCCCGATTTAGATTAGCTGATTGATAGTATATTTATAGTCGGTATTGACTAGACCAGATTCATCGGCAAATTCCACCAGATCCGTCACACAAAGGTAATTTTAAGACAGATCATTAAAATTAGTATTTCCGTCAAAAATTTCTAATTCGTAAAACGTAGCTTATATAATTGGTAACAAAAGCAAAGCTCATATTAAACCTAAATTTAAACAAATACAATGTGAATAATTCAAAATTGTATATAAATTATTTTATTACTACAATAACAAAGGCAGATTCATCAACAAAACGTTCAAATTTTTTTTTTTTTGCTTAGAAAATAATTAAAGATAACAATACAAGATTTAAAAATATATAACGACGATAATTATAACGATAATTAGTTAAAAACTTTAAATTGTAAAACCTTTTTGATATACAATACAATACAGATCTTTACCACGAAAATGCACCTCATATGATCATGATTAATTCAGCAATTAGTATATCGTACGTATCTTACATCGTACGTACGTACGTATCAGAAGCCACAACGTATCTGGTATAAGGCTTTTATAACCCAGGTCAGGCGTTGGCATTCACTACAGATATTAAAGTTATTCGGATTTATTTCCATTTTTAATAATAATAAAAAAAGTAAATGGCTTTTCATATATTGCATTTCCTTCTTTAGCAATTATTTAAAAAAAAAAAGTTTTAATAGGTCTTTTTTGTTTAGTGTAGAACAAAAGTTTAAGGCCTAGAAAAGAAAGTTCTGTTTGATAATGCATAATTTTTTAGGCAATTTTTTCGGGGTTTGTTCATCCTCATACAATATGCCTTTTTTAGATGATTGTTTATAATTGTTTTGTTTATGTCCCGCAAAAAAATATAAAAAGTACCTTTCATTTCGCTTAATTAAACAAAAAGTCCGATTTTTAAAAAAGTATGTGTACGCCCTACTTTCGAGTTTTAGTTATTCCTTATTCTTTTATTTAACTTTGCTCTTTCTTCATGTTTAAAAAGACTATATTATAAACATTTTGCAAAGTACTTTAGTCTGAGACACCTGTAAGTTTACATTGCATTGCGATCTGTTGTTAACTCCGGTCATTTATTAAAGCTTTTCTTGATAAATATTATTTTATTTTAGACTTTTCAAAATGTCTGATTTGAATTCTCAATACAACACGAACTCGGTATATAAAGTTTTTAATATATATTTTTAAACTTGAAATTTGTTTTAATGACTCACTACGCGTTCGCTTTTTCTTTTTTTTTAGACGCTTTGGGGGATTCTAGAAAATGAACAACAATATTATGAACCAAGTATATCTGATAATTCTCAATCTTTTTACTTTGAAGAGGATAATGAAACTTTACCCATAGATCAGATCAATGAAAATCAAAAACGTTCAAATCCATATATGCATTCGGGAGGCTTTGATGATCATGAAAGGTACTGTATTGTATTGATGTCTATTTCTTTTAATGTGATTATTAAGTGATTATTATAGGTTGTTATAGGTTTATACCTATTTATAGTCATATGCTTGCAATTACTTTTTTGTTAATTTTTTTTTAATTATCAATTATTAATTATTAATTATTAATTATTAAAAAATCTATTATTAGGGCTGTTAAAATGGCTAAACTTGATGAATCAGAATTATCAACATACGGTGAATCAGAATTATTAAATTATAGAGATCCAAATTTATCTTCGTGTAGTGAATCGGATTTATCATTATATGGTGATCCAGGTTTGTCATCATATGGTGATCAGGGTTTGTTTACGTATGGCGGTCAAAGTTTTTTGTCATCATATGAGGAACCAGAGTTGTCTAGCTTTGATTATCTTTTGGCGCCTTTCATAGATAGTACATCTTTGTATAAACAAGATGATATTGACGGTCAACTACTTTTACAAGATATTAGACCATATATTATTGATGGACAACTATCTTCACAAGAAATTGATGAACAACTACCTTTACAAGAGATTAAGCCGTGTAATATTGTTGAACAACCATCATTACAAATGGTCGAACAGTATGAGATTAATAAGCAACCATCCTTACAAGTAGCTAAACAATACGTGGCTGAAGAACAAGCGACTACTCAATATGAAGTTGAAGAGCAACCTCATTTACAAGAAATTAATCAGTATGAAGCAAAAGAACATGCATCTTTACAAGATATTAAACCGCTTCAAGTAGAAGATCATCCATCTTTAAATGTGATTAAACAGTATGACATTAGTGATCATTCACCATTACAAGAGGTTAAACGTTTTGAATTAAATGACAAATCTCCTTTACAAGAAATTACTCAATACAATGTTAATGATCAATTATCTTTACAAGATACTAAACAATACGATATTAATGATCATTTTTCTTCACAAAGAGCTAAGCAACATGAAATTGATGAACAATCGTCTCTACAAGATATTAAACCGTATGTGATTGAAGAAAAACCATCTTTACAAGATATTAAGCCGTATTCTTTACAAAATCTTAAATATGAAGTTGTTGAACAATCTTTACAAGATATTAAACCGTCTCTGCAAGATATTAAGCCGTCATCTATTTCGGATTCTGATGAAGTTGAAGTTATTGATCTTACGGAAGATGATGACAATGATATTATTCCACCAAATTTGACTTTATCAGCTTTATCAACTTTATCAACTTTACCAGCTTTATCAACTTCGACAATCATTAAAAAAGAACCTATATCTACTACTGTTAGGAACAATAGTTTAATCTCATCTTTAAATTTATCTCAACATTCTTTATTTAGTCCCAATCGTAACCCTTTATTTTCCACTGTTAATAATCCCATATTTCCCGCCGTTAATGCAATTCAAAATCCAAATAACATTTTATCTCAAAACAATAATAGTCCTTTACCATCCAATGTTAATAATTTATTATTCAATTTCAACAATTCTCCTTTACCTAATGAAATTAAGCCAAATATATTCGAAAACAGACCAGGAACTTATTCAAAATCTATAAATCTTCAAGATCTTTTGGAGATGATACCTCTGGATGAATCCAATAAAACTCCTGTATCCGAAGCAATGCGTAAAATAAATGCTCGCAAAGGAATTGTTCCTGGTTTATCTATACAATTAATGGATCATCAAGTAATCGGTGTTTCTTGGATGGTGGATCAAGAAATAAAAGACAAAGTTAGAGGTGGTATTCTCGCTGATGACATGGGATTAGGCAAGGTAATAAATGATATTAATAATGATAATACTATGATAATGTTATGATAATAATAATATGATAATGTTATGATGATAATAATATGATAATGTTATGATGATAATAATATGATAATGTTATGATGATAATAATATGATAATAATATGATAATGTTATGATGATAATATTTTAACTTTGGTTAAAATCATTCAATTTATTGTATATTGATAATTTTAAGTTATGTTAATTACGTTATAGTTTAACCTAGATCAAAATATAATTTTTTTATAATTTTTATTTATAATCATGATTTTGTTTTCTTTCTACTATTTACTTAATATTAGACTATCCAAACAATTGCAACCATAGTGATCAATCGTCCTGATACGAAAAAATCGAAATCCTCGAAATCGACTTTGATAGTTGCTCCAACAGCTCTTATTTATCAATGGAAAAGTGAAATTTTAAGTAAAACTGACCAAGGTATCTCTCGGAGTTTTGTTGAATTTTTATGTTTCAATTTCTTAAATATTTATATTTAAAAATTTTCTCTTTTTTTTCATTAGGTCTATTTGAAGTACATGTATATCATGGTCAGAATAAAGCGAGTTATCATAATTTGAAAAAATATGACATTGTGATTACAACCTATCAAACTCTCCTTCGTGAATGTCCCGAAAGTGATGATGGTGATAAGGGTTCTTTGTTTAGAATGAATTGGTATAGAGTGGTTTTGGACGGTAATACCGCACCGCATGGTCATTATGATTGTAAAATAAAATCCGTAATAAATTTTTAATCAAGGATTTCGAATCTTAGAGGCTCAGAATATTAAAAATCGTAACTCACGTGCGAGTAAGGCATGCGCTTTGTTATCGAGCACTTATCGATGGTGTTTAACTGGTATTTTTCTTTTTTTATGTTAATAGTAAAATTTATAATTATGCTTTTTTTTTTTTTTTTTAATAATTCATTGTTATTTGTCATTTGTTATTTACAGGTACTCCAATTCAAGTATGTATATTTCGAATGTTCTTAATTATTTTTTTTTAGTTAATTTATTAGTTAATTCATTAATTTAACGATGTTTTAAAAAAAAAAATTTTAGAATCACATCGATGATCTTTATCCTTATTTCCGCTTTCTCGATATTTCAAATTTTTCGGATTGGCAAACGTTTCATGAGCAATTTAGTTCTGCATCACAAAGAGCTATTCAAAGAGCGCAAACTGTTCTTCGTGGGTTCCTTCTGCGTAGGACCAAAGATTCTAAATTGGACGGAAAACCGCTGTTGGTTCTTCCTGAAAAAACTGTGTCTTTTGTTAAACAAGAATTTTCACGTGATGAAAGAGAATTTTATGACGCTGTATGTTTCTTTTTATTAAATTCACTTAATAATATTTGTAACGTCGTCTTACCAAAAAATTATTATTTCGTTTAGCTCGAAAAACGATCAAGAATAGCGTTTAATCGTTATCTAAAAGAAGGTATATATATCTTGTGCTAGTATTAAATTGATATTAAATCAATGTCTCATCGATATTTTTTTAATAGGTTCCGTTTTGAAGAATTATGCATATATTCTTGTAATGTTATTGCGTTTACGTCAGGCATGCAATCATCCATTTTTGTAAGTATCGTTGGTATAATCCTGAAAATATATATATATATCACTTTTGAGATTAATACAATTTTATTTTCCTTTAAATAAAGGACACAAGAAGATATCGGACACGTTATTACATCAGCTGATGACTCTAGAATGTCACATAGTTCATCTTCAAATTCTAATTTCCGTGATAAAGATATACCTAGTCAACTTGAACGAGCTAAAAAACTTTTTTCTGATAAAGTTATTACTCGGTTGTTTGAAAAATATAAAGATAATAGTGCTAACGATGATTGTCCAATTTGTTATGATATGTGAGTATTTATTGTCAAAAAAACCTTTGTACAATTTTTCTTTTTTGTCACACACATTCTTATACTAGTTTTTTTTTTTTAATTTTTTAGTATTGACAATGGAATTGTAACGACATGCGGTCACGTTTTTTGCTTGGGTAATTAAATATACATATATTGATTTTATTTAATTATTGTGTATTCATATAATAAATATAATTTGTAATTATATTTTTGTATCAGACTGCATTAAGAATGCTATTGACTCGGAAAATAAAGAAAATGTTATTGATGTTGAAGATAGAAAGTGTCCCTTTTGCCGTTCTCCAATAAAGTATGTTGATTTTGTTATTTACTGTGATTGATTTTTAAATTATTTATTATTTACTTACATATTTTATTTATGAAAATCAAGGGAACGCGACTTTATTAATTTAGAAGTGTTTATTCCACCTGTAAAAAATGAACTACATGATGATGACGACGACATTGAACTTCCTACTCTAGACGAGGTCATTTCAAGTTCTTTTAGTGGATCCGATGATATCTCATTATCTTCTAAAAAAGAAGATTCCGAAAAAAACATTGATCTTCCTAATATTAGTGGAACCAACAACACATTTGCTAATGCACCTGAAGGTTTATTCTTGTCTTCTACGAAAATTGATCAATTAATGAAAGAATTAGCTCTTGCACAACAAGAAGACCCTGGATGTAAAACGATTGTTTTCTCACAATGGACTTCGATGCTGGATTTAGTCGAAAAACCTATTAAAGACGTCGGATACAAATTTTGCAGGGTAATTTTATTTTTAATGTTTCATTAATATCATAATTTTTATTTAAAAATTTTTCTCATAAAATTTTCTTTAAAAAAAAAGTATGACGGTACTATGGATGTTAAGGAACGTGATAATTCTTTACAAAAATTGATACAAGATGCTGAAGTTACAATTATGCTTGTTTCTTTGAAAGCTGGTAATAATATTTTTCCTAGTATACTTATTTTTGCACGTGACATGACAAATATTTATATTAATCTTTTTTTTTTTTTTTTTTTTTTTTTTTTTTTAGGTGGTGTTGGTTTAAATCTCACCAAAGCGAATAGGGTGAGCTTTTATTTAATAATGGTCTTTTTTAGATAATCTTTTATTTTTATATCTAATCTTGCTAAATATTCGAATTAAGGTTATTATGCTTGATTGTTGGTGGAATCCAGGTAAATATTTGTTAAGTAAAATCAGCTGTTAATTTTGCTATTACTATCGTAATTATTAATTTATCGTCTATTTTTTTTTTTTTTATTCGATACCTTGTAGCCGTTGAAGGTTTGTAATTTTTAACTTCGATATTTTTGCACTATCTTTGATTTTTTTTTTTTTTATTTACATTTTTTTTTTCTTTGTTATAGATCAAGCGATCGATCGTGTTCATCGTATTGGACAATTCAAGAATGTTATTATAAAGCGACTGACTATAAAGGACACTATTGAAGATCGTATTTTAATTCTTCAGGATAAAAAGGTATCTTTGATAAATAAAATTGAGGAATTAATAGAATTGAATTTACATAAATATTCATATGTATATATATTTTCATTAATAGCGAGAGTTAGCTGCAGGCGCTTTAGGAGAAGGAAGCATTAAAGTCGGAAGATTAACAGTAGAGGATTTAATATTTCTATTCCGTTAGAGATCGTGAATCATTATAAATAATTTGTAAGGATGCTGAAATTGAAAAATTTCAGTTACTATGATTTTTCATTTAGAATTAGAAAAGTTTAGTTAAGCTATTGTATATAGATTTGTTTACCAAATATTATGTTCTTGGTAAAAATGCATTATAAATAATTTGACAAAGGATACCGACTGCCTACCTGCACAATTCAATAGAACAAAGTTAATCCACATCCTATGCTGTAAAACACATTATATAATTAGCATATTTTTAGAGTTTAACGTGCCATTGATATTATAATTTCTTTATATATATATTTTTTTAAGCAACATATATAATCAAATTTTAATTACAATTTTCAAAGCATGTTTATTAGACTTTAGCGATTATAGATGGTGCCTAAAACCTCTTAATATATTAATTAATGAAAGTGTTTATTATTATTATTGTTATTATTATTATTATTATTATTATTATTTATTATGGCATAGAAATGAATTTAAATATGATTTAATTAATAAATGAAATTATTATGATTGGATTGTTTGGTAGGATCGTGTATCTAATTATGATTACCAAGATAAATTTAGTTCAATAATGTTAAAAGATTTAATTAATTAAGTTAAATTAATTAATATTTTTATCATTATTGAAAAAATTCAAATTACGTATATAGATTTTTCTGCATAAGTTTTTTTTAGGGAACAAGTATTCCACACCCTTGTAAATTATAAATTATTATGAAATTATGACAATATCACGATGTATGATGATTGTATAATCCAATACTCCGGCTCAAAATTGAATAATGTAATATGACACTTCATCCTTGATCTAAATATGATACACTTTATGTAATATGCGCGCGATCAAAGAATGCGGAAATACTTTGTTCCCTTATTTTATTAAATTATGCTAAACATTATGCATGATTTAAATGTATGGCTTATAATAACCTTTTTGTTATAGCAATTTTTATCAGATTAAATAAAGGAGAATCAATCGTATTATATGGTGTAAATCATCTGTCTCTTAAAGAGTTAAAATTTTATTATTGTTTTTCTTGAAATTGTGTCTCATTGGTAAATAGGAAATTTTCTCAAAAATAATAATAAAACGTAACTTTGGAGGTCTTATTTAAGCACTGTAAAGATACGCTTTTAATTTTGAGTTCAAAAATATTTACTGAGGAGTTATAATTTTGATGTCTTTAGATGATTTGCATCATATTAATCGTTACAGTATATATGTTGTGCCTCAGATTAATGCTTGCGTCAGATGTCAACTTTTTGGCCCGCATTAACTGATCGACATTGAT